TCATTTCTTTGCATTATAACTGTATAACTCTAACAATGACACATGCCATAGCTATTTGAAGCCCAGTTTTTTTCATGTATTATTATTTAAAATTATTATAATCCAGTTTCCCTCCAATATACAGTATTTTAAAATGTTATTGATCAAAATGAAAATGAAATGATTTGTATAAAGTAACAACAGCTATACTATACACAATCGTGACTTTCCAAGCACTGTATGACTTGTGTAAAGTACAGTTGTGTACAAATTTGAAAATGCCTCAAAATGTCTCTTTGAAAAATATTCTTCCTGGCATTTTAAATTTTATTTATATTTTCAGTATTGTTTAGAATTGGGAGAACAAATAAATAGACATGTCAGGCCTTTGTGCAATAAAAATCTCCAATCTAAACCAAAGAGGCCATTATTTCCCTCATTATTTAACCGAAAAACTTTGACTCGAAAAGCTTTTTATTGTTGTTGTCCATGTGAAGAGGGTTAATAAATCTGTAATTTGTAAAACTCATTAAATCTAACAGTCAATATAAATCTGAACAAATTGGGATTACAGAAGCAATGGGTCATTCTAGTTAAATTTGCATACAGTACATTTGTCTATATACATGTATGGACAGAAAACTGGGAGAACATTAAACAACCTTGGAGTACATTAAAACTTTAACCCACCCATCAATGGGAACTCATAAAAAATGATGCCTTGTGCCAGGTTTCCACTGGGTAGATGTACAAGGCTTCTGAGTGAAAAAAAAAATGTAATTAAGTGCCAGGATTGGAAATAGAATGTAACCGTTCTGACCATGGTGATCTGTTCTGTCATGTTTGCTTACACTTCATCATAAATCAGCAAACTAAAAGCAAAACTCTTAAGTGGAAATAAAATCATTAATACAACATTACACCACTGCAGAAATAGCAATAGTGAGTATTCATCAACAAACAAATTTTAAACCCATAACAATTATAATAAACCGTATCTTATATAGCACCTTCAAAGATGGCTTCTCATAGTATTTAAAATAAAAAAAACACACAAGGAGAGGATGCAGCAGAATTAACACAACTACAATAAGGGTCGTTGTAATGGAACTTATTTCTCAATGAACAGGAATATTCTTATTATTTAGCTTCAGTGATGAATACAGAACAAATAAATTGTGGATAGGATTCCAGAAAGTGTTCACTGATTAGCAAAGTGGTAAAATGATAAACTCAACTACAAGGATGACACAGTAGTGATACTACCACAGTACTAACTAGGGAACTGCACTAGGGAAAAGCCTAGTTTGCTACTACTTTACAGTCTACAGGAATGTACCACATGCTGCACCATACCCACTGTCAGACAGGAGAGATCACTCCCATGGATCATATCCTCTAATGTTTAGATGTATAAATTTATATGGTAAACTTTTGTGATGGGACAGAAATAATTTCATATTCTTTGATTGTATGTGTTTTGAATTAACGTTTCCATACAAAACAAAAAAAAATATATCTCTTGGAAAAAACAAGCTATTTAAAAAAATGTACACTCCCAATGAAAACAAGGACCATCAATGTAATTGTGCAAATCGCCTTAACATTTTATTTTCTGTGGAGTATCCTGCTTTCTCTGTATTCAGATACAATCTCTAAAATGGTAGACACAGACAGCTACCGGTACATTATTCTAATTATGTTTTTCTTTCAAACGTATATGCCGCCACAAGACCTAGGGCTCTTTGGTAATGCTAACCTTTTTATTTTTTTTATGCCATAATGAGTCATTATTTTCACTTTGATTTTCTAACAGACTGACCTTTTAATTTCATTTGTACATGTCATGTGCAAACTTGATTTGTTCGGAGATTTCTATTTGAATCGAATTGCTTTTCAAAAGCCGCTCACTTCCAAGAAATTCCAAAACCGTGGAGCTGTAGTTATCCATTCTTCCGTCTACTCGTGATCCACAGCTATCATCTTAAGGAAGGTGATTGCTATCTGGGGGGCTAGCCTAGAAGATGCTGGAGGCAAGGTCAGACAACACCTAGTTATCCTGGGAAATCCACGTCTCAGGGGGTTTGTGTGTCTGCAGGATTTTATTCTAACAATACGCATCTACTCCATATTGGCTTAATGGAGCGAATGTACAACTTCTCACAGCTCTTCAAGTGCTGGTGCTTGGAAAAGATCTATAATACCTACAGACACACCAGCCCTAAAGGAGCAGTATTGCCTGCTCCTGGACCGGAAACCAGTTCATCACAAGAAACATGTACACATCAGAACAATAAAAGACACCAGTTAACCAGTTATTGAACCATAGGAGGAAAGCAGAGCACTTGGCCGAAACTCGTAGAGTGGAAAGGATATGCAGATTCCAGAGAGAAGGCATCCCAGTCCAGAATTCCAGACCCAGGTGCTGTGAGACAGCCACACCGTCTGCACAGCATCAGAGCCACTTGATTCAGGTGTTAAAAATCCCTCGACTGTGAGAAAACCACGTATTAGAGTTTAATTCAGAGTTTTACAGCTTAATTGTTATTTTAGAAAAATGGCTCTTTCCAATTTGTAAGAATGCAATACTATATTACCTTCTAAGAAATATTTCTTGCATCTCAGTGTTGAGAGATGCAAGGACCTGATCAATTTTAAACATGACTTGTACTGCATCACCAGAACATTTCCCAAGTAAAGAAATATTACATTTATACAGTAGTATACTAAGCATGTATGTCTTTAGAAAATGAAACTATACAGGTTTGGGATACTGATTAAATGATTTTAATGTCATATTGATTAATGAATTGTTCATGACTGACATTGATACACTGAACTGACTGACTCTTGCACGTGTGCTGAATTGTCTCATTAGTGACAGAGTTCATTGGAAACAGGTAATGGAAACAGGCTTGCCAGGACAGAAAAAAATTAAACAAGACAGAACATAGAAAGGAACTAATGTGCCGTGCTAAACAAGAGTGCAATGCCTTTGTACCTCCAGGATGTTGTGAGCTGTTGTGACTAAACCTGCAGTGGAGCCAAGTCCTCTTCGGTAGTAAATCAAGGTTTTATATTGCAGGGCAATAAAGTAATCACTGTTTACAACAGACCAATGTTTACAATGGGCAGTGCTGGGATAGCCTAGAGTGGGACAATTGACCTGAAATATTTCTGTTATGAAAACCCATCTGTTGTGTGCTTCTGGTTTATCACTTAGCTTATTCTTCCTAAATTTACTTCGCTTTTTGTGTCTGTGCTTTTGCAATTTTTTGGTATATTCATTTGTGTGCTTCTAATTTTGACCATGATTCTCCCATCCCTACCCCAAGTATCTGGTACCTGAATGGCAGATAATGGAAGAAGAGCCCTGTGTTTACTGTATTCTTCTCTAGCCTCTTGGCTGTGCTTAAAGTAGTGCATATTTCCATTCATTCCTGACTAAGGATTTGGGTACAGTTCACATGTTACCTGTGTATGCAATCAACTGCCCTTCTCCCTAATTATACTGTAGAGAGAGCCCATGCAATGCATTTTTTATTAGACAAATAAAATGAATGATGTGCCTTGTGTTTTGTGGTTACCCTGTTTTACTCATCATTGATTTACAGTACTTCCTTGACTTAGGAACTGCACTGAACCTGCATATCCTGCATGTAATACATTTGACATGAACAGGACTGATTAAAGTGAGGATAGGTTAAAGTGAGTTCCCAGCATGAACTATGGCATTGCTTGATTGAATCTCAAATACAAAAAAAACAAATCTACCTGAAGTGGTGTGATTTCTAATATATCTGGATCTCAGTCTTTTAATTCCTCTCTTAGACATTACAGAGTCCCTTTAAACCACACCTATAGACTCTGTTGCTTTCAGTGGTTCACAGTGGTATGTTATTGACCAGTTCTCAACCTAACTGTGGTTTTTGTCACATTCTTTGCCAGACTTTCCTGCTTAATTTGAACCTGTCTTTCCTGATTATCCATCACTGTGTCAGAAACTTAATGAAGAACCTTAATTAGAAAAAAACCTTGACATGCTGATCATGTCACGATGATCTCCAGCTCCCAGGGTATCTCTAACAACTTTTTTCTTGACATGTTCTTGGAATTATTCCAAAAGGCAAGCCCAGTTCAATTAATGTAATACGATTTGCATTCTCACATTTTCCTCTTTCACATTTTACGTCACTCGTCTATTTTCGTCTTGTCCTGTAACACCTTATTTATCCATATGTACACCATCTTTTTGGTTACGAATACACAATAAATACAAAACAACAAATGACAAAAACAAACTACTACCTGTCTGTCAATCCAGAGTTGTATCTAATTCAATGGTCCCTGGTCAAGTCAAAAGTCTCAGCTTTCAAGTCTCACATCAAATGCCTTAAGAATGTGGGCTGGAGATTGGGATAGATTTAATATGATGCGTAAGAACCACGTCCCTAAAATGGCCACACCAAAGTTTCAAGCAAAGATTAAACTGCACTTTAGACTCCCTTAATCTAAGAATTTATAATATAAACGTAACACCAATATCACTCACCTCCAGCCTACAGCTTTCCTAAATACCATGTCAGTACTGTCTATAATGTTAGCCAAAAAATAACTTCTAAGATGGGAAATACAGCTTTACAACAAACTAGATTCAATCCAAATAGAGTTAAAATAACTTGATCTCCTGTAGAATAACATGGTAGGAATTCCAGTCAATATTTGCTCCCTGCTTAAGGATTCAGATGTTACTTGGAATCAAGGCAGAAACAGAAACTTCTAGAAACAGATCTATGGGCTAGCCTCAGTGTGGCTTAAACGCTGGCACATTTTGGGAACCTCTGCATGTCCTCGTTTGAAAGCAACGAGTCTTGGCCCTTAATGGTATTATTTATAGGGAGCTTTACTATCACCCAGATTAATCTTGTCTGTTGGGGATAGGTAGATTGAGGTACGGAACGTCGAAATGGATATGTCAGATTTTTAGTGTACTGTGATACTTCCACTTGAGTGTTATTACTAGTTTCAATGGCTGATGCTTTTATTCCATTTGTGCTCAGTTATCCAGCTGGTTATTCTTCTTGAACAAATTGGGAAAGCACCTTTGCTCAAGGGTACAACGGTAGTTTCTCTTCAGGGATCTGAACCTGCCACCTTTTAGTTTCGTCCAAACCAACAGCTGCTGCTCAGTACTGTCCAAGAAGTGTGTGATTCTATTTCTGCGTTACTTTGAATGGCATCTCCTCGGAGGTACCACTCTTTTTACTGTAAGGAAGTGGAAAGGGATATTATATGCTGAGGTAAATTTAGCTTTTTGTATTTGGGTTGTTCTGTTTTGAAACATTGAAATATATAAAAAAATATTCACATAACAGGATGTTTGGCCAGTGATGGGGTTTTGCTGTCCTTCCTTTCTCCATTCTAAAAGTACTTCCACCCCCAACCAGCACCTGACCTATAGAAATTGAAAGTGCAAGAGCAACTGATATAAAAAAAGAAAATTTATATTGCCCATGTGATTGAACAAAGTCTGGTCCTTTGAAGATGGATGAATACTTCTGCAATATACAGTATCAAGAAATAATCTCAGCATAATAATGCTTCTAGATAAAGTATACAACATTTCCTCATTGTGGCTGGTGATCACACATTATTGAGTAGCTTTCACTTTTGTTTTACTTGTTTTTAATCAAAGCAAAAAACGCTCCTCAAAAGATTTGGAAAAAAAATGCTAAGACTTGATTATTATTATGTTGGATATTATGTCTTAAATCTTAAATATGGAGAATACCCACTGATCCATAGATCGCTCATGGTCATGGTCTTAGTTTTATCAGAAGGTTCTTATATTGTATATATGTATTCTTAGTAATTTTGCCATGGGGGTTTTTGTTGGTTGTTTCTGGGAAAAATACTGTAACACTCAATTGCCTGCATCTACTGCTATATTAATGTCATTATCATCATTATCTTCATGATCACAATTTTTATTATTATCATTATCATTGGTAATTCAGTATGTAATCAATCATCTTATTCGCAAGAACTTGTAAAGTTGAAGCTCGTAAAACTAAAGCCCTTCCCATTCCCAGTTAAATTCCAGATGAAACAGGTTGCAGAATGTGAGAAACCAAATGTTTCATAAGAATCAACTAATATCTAGTACTAAATCTCTGGCTAAAATGACTACATTTGTAAGTATTTTTTATTCTATTGGAAGGAATGAATTATGATTTCTTTGGCAAAAATATGAATGCTTTAATAGTAGCATTTTTATTTTGTAAAATAAAACCCTTTAATTAAAGCGATATAATCTGTACTTTCTGGAAAAACACTAATGTATGTAGTTAATCATCGTTTTTTTTAATTGTGGAATATAATTGTATGTAATATACTTAATATACCTATCTAATATTACATGCATTAACTGTACTTTCTTCCTTTTGCCAAAGGTGTATTTACAGTTACAGTACACATACAGTACTTTGTCTTGCAACAAGTTACAGTCCCTTAATAAATTCTCTTTCTGGTATCAGTGATATCTACAGAACTCTTAAACAGAGAGATCTGGCCATTTCAAATGATCTCATAGGTATTATTGGCTAACCTGAGGGGAATGTTTTGTTGAGCACCTTATATAAAGTTTCTCTGTCCTAAGGGGCAAAGCTGGAAAAGAAAACACAATCTGGGGCACCTGGTAACAATGAAAAATATGTTCCTTGTCATCTTTTTTGACAATGGGCGCAAGTAGATTTTTATGTCCTTTCGGGTATTTTTAATTTTCATGATTTTATGTACAAGTATTGCTCCTTACACCAATCTTTGAGCCTCTGTGATAAAAAATATTGCACCCAATCTCTTCATCTTTCATCTCTGATCCTTCTCCTTAGGACACCTGTAAGTAAGAGTATGTTTCTTTCATCCGCAAAAGTATCATTGAAACTTTACTCCTCATAAACCCTTGTAGAAGCAACAGATAGTACTTTTCATACAATATATCTTCCTGTTTTGATTTTACTTGAAGGCTAGTACAGAAAGATTAGGCTCTAGTGCCTACCACAAAAGAATTTAAAAATGAAACTAGGGACACTTCACAGCTCAGCAGTTAATCTTCTGTTTTTTATTATGAACTTTGCTTATACAAAGTAAATAAGAGAAACATTGTTTTTTTCCCAGTATAACAGAGCAAAGGATTACACATGACCCATACAGTGTCCAACAATGGTATTAGCAAAGTCAGAACAATTACTTTCGCTTAGGCTAGGCCATGCTTCACAGATGAGGTGGTGTCTTTTGGGGCATCCTTTTCTTCTCCACCTTTGCATCAGTTTATTTTTATAAGGTTTATCTTGGTCTTATCAGTTTGGAACGCTTTGTTCCATAACTCTCCAGACTCACCTTTGTAATTCAAAGCAAATTCTGAAGCATGGCTTACGTACAGTTATGGCTAGGGCATGCATTGCCACTCATCTTTATTGGACAAGGAACTAATGATGACAGCAGCAGAATGAATTGTAAACAAAAGAAACTTTTTTGCCTGCTTATGACAATGAAAAGGATTCCATACTTATTGGGTAACGCTTCACCCATGCAACCAAGGAGTTCATCAATGGAAAAAAGTGGAAAACCACTGCCTGGCCAACTCACTCTCCATCTTTCAATCCAGTTGAAAAAATTGAAGTCAGAACACCATAGGAATAGAATTCAGTCTAGTTGCAGTAAAACATCTCAAATGATTTACTCAAAGAGTTGAACTGTATTGGCTGTAGACTTTGTGCAGGTATTGTGTCAAACGGTTATCCAACAGAAAAACTTCACTATTACCTTTTCACTATGAAATGTACCAATGTGAATGTGTACCATTCATTATGGTTGATATGATGATTACTTTAAATCACAATCATGTTTTTATATGTTCTCATATGATCAAATGGATGCTCAGAATTACTTGAAAGTAAAAATATTACATTGTGCTTATCATATGATCACATTTACAAATTGTTTGACTGTAAAGCAAAAATCAGAGTTTTGGCTTTGCTGTTCCCATAGTTTTGGAGAGCCCTGTACAGCATTAGCAAGGAAAACAAAGTGGGAGTTCATTTTACAGAAGAGTCAAGAGGAAGATGCCATTAGTATAAGTGTTTCCATTACTGCAAGTCTATGCCTTAATCCTTTAGGCACTACTTGCAAAGGATCCACTATCCTGCTGTTTTTTCATGTTGCCTTTCTGCATTGATGGTAGTATGCATGTGTGTGGTGGTGATGATGGGGTTACAGTCACATGTCTGAGAGTGTTTAACCTCTTTCAATTCAAAGAGGCCGACACACATTTCCCATTACTTGTGATTTGCACTTGTGTCCATTTTAGCATTACTGTTCCCATGCCCAAAGCTGGGCCCAAAGCTGCACTGAGCCCTTTAAACAGCTGAGATTATAAAAAACAATTCAAATGTGGATTTTAATGTAGTGTACCGAAAATCAGTAAAAAAAACAACATCTTAAAACAGAATAATACTTAGATCAGAGGTTTTACATCTCTATTTCTCTATTATGTTTTTGTGCTTTAAATCTGGGAGAAAGATTAAACCAATTCAGGGTTAACTAGACCAATTTATCCTTAAGCTGTTAATGGTATGAAGAGATTTAGAAAACCAACTGGACCACAAAGGGAAGAACTAGATAGTAACTATAAATTGACATAAGTTAATTGTTTCTTTTGTTTTGTAGAACATAAAAAATGAGTCAGGAGTTGTGCTGGATTTTGAGGTGCACAAGGAACAAGTAGAGCTTAGTTAGAGGTGGATTTAACCTGTACTGTATATATAAATTTCTGACATTAATGGGAATATTTGGCCTATTTTAGCAATGGCATACAAATAAATGTAAATATTGGTGATATTAATTATTAAAAACTCACAAATAGTATTTTAGCACATGTGAGTCTAATATTATATTATTATATTCACTGCCAGGAATTGTTTCTGGGTTGTTTTTTTTGCCACATTCTCAAAATACTAAAAAGACATTAACAAACTTCAAAATGTTATTTGGACACAAACCCAATATCATCAGCTGTTACTTCTAAGTACACTATGATAAACATCATCATACCTGAAACTGAACTTAACTGCAGTGTGTTATTTCAGATTTTAATAAAAGTATATTTTTGTATTTGTTTGATTAAACTTGACCACCTTATGTCACAGTCTTATTCGTGCATATGTCAAAGCAAATTGTACATCTACAGTTTTCCAAATGTGTATGCTGGTCAAAAAATACTTTGTCATGACTCCTGAAGGCCTCCCATAAACTGTCCAACATTTTAATACACTACATGTTTAAAAATCATGAGAGATTGTCAATCAATTAGCCAACAGCTGATAATGAATGATAGAATCTCTATGCTTAATCACTAAGATAAGACAGAGAGATCCCCTGAAGACAAAACCTATCAATTAGGTCCAGTTTTATGTAAAAAAAACAAGAAGAGAGGGAATTTTGATTCAAGTCAACCACATCTTCAAGTTGTGGTCAAAACAAATTGTACAGTACATCAAAAGTATGGATTGGCCAAGAATGTCACTATTTTCTGCAAAATACAAAATCTGCAGGTTATTTGAAATTTGTTATAGGGTGTTTTTTTTTTCCTTCAAAAGAACAGAACTGTTTTTTGGATTTTTTTCGTTCTTAATTTTTTTTTCATATCACTTTTGGGAACCATCTGTCATGGCATACGCACATGCTGTGTAAAAGAAGTTAATTTTGGGGGTTCTTTAAGTTAAGTTTTCCTTTTAAAATCTTGGCACCAAGTTGTGGTTTAAAATGCAAACCGCAATGCTTCTAAGAAACAAAGTAAAATTAAAAAGCATAATATCTTAATCAAACTATGAGAAAATAGTAAGAAAGTTGTGCAATGTTATATTTTGAAAAAGTGTTTTTTGAAAGGAAAAAATGTTGAATGACTTGTACAGTAGTGTAGACAAACCACAGAAAGGAAACAGGCCAATATCAATAAGTGGCCACTTGTCACCAGTCCATTCTAAATAGCACTTATTAATGTCTCTCTCCGCTGTTTAAGAGTCTGTCTGTGAAGACTCCTCTGTGTTGCAGTGATGGTTAGAAGCACATGTGTTTCTGCACAGGGATTGCTAAGAGGTGGGGACAGACTGACCCTCCTCATCTTCATTTGTCAGGGGAGTGTTGGTCAGCAATTCAGTGCTGGCGTGGACTTCCTCATCATCTGATTGGACAGTGGGGGTGTCAGCCCCCTCTTCGCTGGTGTCAAGGCTGTAGGGGTCTGTGGAAGTGGACGAGGTGGAGGACATGCGTGACTTGACTTCTCTACCATGGGGCACCTGCAGCATGATCTGATCCTCATCACCCTGATCTGGAAGAGCAGCAAAGATAACAATGTTTTGAACGCCCTTTCATTCAACTTTCTCAGCTTGTTTGCTGAAATGCCATTCATGTCGCTTTCTTTTTTTTTTGTCAAGTGACTGAAGCATTTGTGCTAAAGGGCATCTCTTAAAAAGGCTTAAAAACACAATGGCAATGAGCCACCCAAATCCACAGATATCATGAGTCAAAATAAGTTCCAGCACGTGAATCACTTTTAAAAACATATGTTCACATAGGCGCATATAAAAATACAGGCTCGTGCTGTTTTCTCAAAGAGTGGGGAAGAAAACTAAACCTGTAGTAATTGATGAATTATCAGATCAAAGTGTGGCTGTTTGTATTGTTAAATATCCTCATGTGCAGTAGAGATCATTCTTCCTATGTTTTATTTCTGGAAACTTGCTATATGTATGCAATGATGTTTTACGTTGGTAAATAGAGCATACACTTAAATTAAAGGAAATACGAGATTTGTGTCTAACAAAGACTTCACTCAGGCACCATTTTTTTGGATTAATAGGAATAAATATGCTCCGAGCTCTTAGATGTCTGAGATGTCCATTTTTCCTACCTGCCCGAGGAGATGGGATATCACTCTCATCTGCTCCCGAATTCAGGAAAACATCCAGGGCCTCCTGGTCAGAGATGTCCATCAGCTCCATCTGTTCCAGCATGTCCACATTGACCTCCATAGAGGATATACTGCCAATGGGGGCTGGTCAAGGGACATGGACATTGGCCTTATTAGTTTTTCACTTTTCGCTGTGGCACATCAAAAGTTTTGGGATTTTGAATACCCATATAGTTTATGCCTTTCTATATTTCTCTGTCAATGAATCTTTTTTCCCTCTAAAGTACATTGAACATATATGAAATGAGCTGTACATGAATGGTTAAAGTAACACTGCACAAAACATTTCACAGTGTTAAGTGTTGAAAGATATGTTTGATAACTATCATATGCAAACACTTAAGACTTTTTCATATGTTTCATTTTTTGTTTCTTTGCCAACAAAGCTGTCTGTAGTTTGTATGTTAAATTTAATAAGTTAAGTGTTATTATAAAGAAAATAAATTTGTGTTTAAGACAACGTACGTGTTTTTATCTCATGCTCCATCTAAATAGTCTGACTCATCCTCATTCACTCTTATTACACACCTTTGTTTTCTTTGTACTATTCTTGTATTTCAGCTGTCTTCCTTGAGCTGTTATATGATCACATTGGCGTGCCCTTTGTCCTGTCTGTTTTCATTTTCTGTATTGTATGAGGTTACAGACCCTGTCCCTGCCTGGGTAAAAATGGAGTCTTCCTCCACCCAGCAGGGGAAGCCAGAAGCAAGGTTTAGTCTTTATATTCCAGTGCTGGTGCTCATGAATATTTTTGAGCTATGTTTCAGCTGTTGCTAAAAACACTCAGACGTTTCTCTAAGTCATGTTTCCATGCTAAGCTGAGTTAGACATTGAGAATTTTCTTAATAGGAAATGTCATTACCTTTTTGAAGACCTTTCTCATAGAAACTTTCTGAGCTTAGTAAGAGTTAACAAAGATGGACTTAACTCAATTGTGCTCAAATGATTCAAAAACAGAGTTAGAACTGTACTATTCCTGTGTCCTCCTGATATTAAAGACTCCTTGTCTTTAATATCAAGAACCCTGTTGTCTCGCAGGATGGTTTAATGGAGGCCTACTCACGCCTCTTGTGTTCGATCTGGAGGTGAGTGGTGGAGAGGAAGACATCAACATCATGCTGAAAGACCTCCTCGAAGAAGCGCTGTCTCTCCCGTATCTTCATCTGCTGGGCAGCGTCCATCTCCAGGACTCTCTGAGCATGCTCTGTCTCTGCTGGCAGTCACAACCGCAGAGTCAGCTCCCACACACTCTCCCAACTCCAAGGACCACTACTGTTTCTACTGCGGACAAACTGCCTCTTTCTAAACATTCTGTTTAGTCTACCATGGAGTGGGCTGCAGTGGAGCACAAAGACACATACTGCATTACTATCTGTTTCTATTTAATACATCATAATTATGTTTTGATGGTAATATACCCCATTTGTGAAATACTAATCAATGCCCTTTTACTGCACAATCCTGCAAATTAAATGCACAGTATTAAGGTCTTATCAGACATCAAACTCTTCCAGAAAAGAGAAACCTTTTCGTGGTGGTAACAGATTTCAGCATTATTGGCATTGGCACGATGGGGAAATGCTTTGCAAGGCAGGAGCAGAGCCAGACTCGATGAGAAACTTGTCAACTCATACTTCTCCAATTTTCAAAAATTCATCATTGAAAATGCTTTCAGGAGCTATTAAAAAAAAAAGGTTTCCGGTCATGGTCACTAAGAGTAACATTCGGCACTTGTTCATAACCTGTATGAGAGGAAGCTGGGTAACAGAGGGTCTTCAACACTAACGAAGTGAGACAATCCACTTGCCCATGAAACTAATTATTTCACAAATTAGTTTTGGTAAAAGTACCCCCTTATTAAGATCAAATTAACACAAAGCAGCGGCTCAGAAATAATAATTTCTGATAAATGATTTGCTCTTGGTTTAAGATTGTTTGAATTTGCTGTGTGACTTATGGTTATACAGGTAAGTGCACACAGCCTCTCTACAGTACTTTACACCACCTTCTTTGTTTTTGGAGAGATCAAATGTCAAGTGTCTATCTTTTTCTCAATAGTACAATAAAACATTACCATTCTACATAGCCTGCAGGGCTAGAAATGGCTTTTCTGGCTCCTTATTATTAGATTAGATCTCCAACAATTTGAATGTCGCTGTTGGAATAGCAACAAAAAGGTATGTTTGGATCAAGAGCAATATGTAAGGAACCGCAGTGCTTTGGAAATGATTACCGGTAAATCACACCAAAAGATCTTTAGCCAGAAGGGGGCAATGTGTTACAGAGCACAGAGCTCTGAAGGGTGAGCAACTTGCATTTTCTGGCTCGTGCCATCAGAATAAATCAGAGACTGTGCAGAGCTCTCACCAGCTGCTAAAAAGAAAATTGATGTATAAATCTCTCAAGGATTAGCATGGAGGTTTGGGGGGGATAGCAGAATGCTAAACAGAACCATATATCCCTAGAGTTTACTGAACCCCCCCCCCCCCTCTGTACCACATTCTAACACTCCTGATAGTTTAAATAGCAATCACAGCTGCAGTATCTAGACCTCTGTCTCAGTCTTCATGGTATAGTTCACTGAAACAGACTCATAAGAACTGTACTGTAGCTAAGGAACAGGCCATTGTTCTGGTCTGTGTCAGCAGATATGCCTAAGACGTATTGTGCATTCTGCACCAATCAGAAAAGTCTATATGCACAACTGTTCTACAAGAAAATTCTCAAATATTTTATAGTCACATCACAGAGACCTTTTTTCCATTCAACAAGACACCGTGCTGACTGTGAAATACATTAATCTCAGCAATATGCTTGGGATAATCAAACCTTTATACAGTATTTCACATGGTATTGCATTTTGCACAAAATCTATCTTCTATTAAATGTTTAGACCTTCTTTTTCAATACCTGTTTCTGGAATCATTTATATATTAATCAGCATTTATATACATCACAACAGAGAGCAACAGAGTAAAAGAGAGAGATCTGCAACAATGTGCTTCTGTCCCTCTTTTGCCCTCAGGCATGATAATGTGACTTGGAATATGACTCTGACATAACATCTTATATCCTTATTTCTGTTTTGTAACTGCAGTACAATATTAAATTCTGTACAGAGCTCATGTCTAATGTCTCCAGATGGGATGTTGACTCACCATAGATTCACAAAGACTTTGCAAGTAGTTATGCTTCTTATTTAATAAGCCATGGTTTTTTTTTCCACATTTGCCGTAGTCATTTTGGAAAGTTTTTGGAAGCACGAAAAACACTGAGAAAAAAAAAATTGTTACCAAGCTGTTAGATATTTGATTGCAGAAAAAAAAGAGATTTAACATGTCTTTTTGTCAATAAAACTAACATACAATTCCACTGTATCCATTGACAATAAAAAAATACTTTGTTAAGCTTTTAAACTTTTTTAAGCTTTTTGTTCAAATGAAACTTAATGTCACGGAAACAATTCTTTGTGTTAAAGCAGCCTTTTTTAAAGGTTTCACTGTAGTGAAATATTTCATGAAAGAAACAGCAAACCTAAAACTATCCCCCTGACTGAAATAATCATTATTAATCGATTATATTTCTGGTGTGTGATAATTTAGCAGTTAAGACTTGCCTATCAACTCCAGGGTCCTGGGCCCCACCATGGCCTGTGGAACCTGTCTGTGTGGAGTTTGCATGTTCACTTTGTGTTCATATGGGTTGTCTACAGATGCTGTGGTTCCAGATCCCGAATATATGCTGGATAGGATGAGTTTTCCCCCAAGCCCTGTATTGTGCCCTGCGTTTCCAAGATAGCTTCCACTGTGCTGCTGTCCTTGCCAGGACTAGAAGCTTTCTGTTATTATTTTTTATTTAAGTTTGAATTTTCAAGTAAAGTACTTTAAACTACAATTAAAACAGGAGGTGTTATCTAGTATTTTCAATGTTTGTTTTTCCTCCTTGTAAAATATTCCCAGTGCAGAGCTACTTTTTAAAAGACACACACAGAGGCACTACCACAATCAGAGACTCTGTCTGCTTTAAACAAATTACAACTTAATCTTACCTCTAGGTTGCCTGGATATTGACTGTGGGAAAATTGTATTTCTGGCTTGGCACAGACCCCACAAATTACAGGCTGTCAGGGCTCAGCTTTCCTTTGTCATCTCATTGAGAAAGAAATGTATGCCACACTGATCTCGGTAAAGACAGCCCGATATCTCTTTTGACTGTACAAAGCAAGGCTGAATCCCCATCTTTTATGCAGAAGTGAAAAGCTTTCAACCCACTCTCTGAAAAACTGAAAAGTTGTGACTATGATAGAAAATCAATATTTAATTAAGCACCACAAAATAAATATCAAGTATAATGTTTTTAACCTTGTCTGTCCTGCTACATGGGCTTTTCGCATTATATTGGCACAGCACTTGCATTCTGTTTAATTAGCAGAGATCACATAGAAAACTTTCATTTGTTATAAATATTGCTCGATGCTTCAGAATAAAAAGGGAAAGCTTTGCTATTTTTTCTTCTCCAAGTATTTAAACACAGGCATATACACATACAAAACAAAGCCTGCTTATATAGTCCAACTCCTACCAACCAAACCAGTAGAATCCCATTCCATTACACAGGAACTCCAGCTTTCCAAGGAGGTGCTGGGATGTTGTCATTCAAACAACCGAGGTGTGACAGCACCCAGGCTGACAGCGGACACATGCACAAGTCAGACAGTCTGGTTACTGACTGCCCTAAGGCTCCTCATTTACTCCATCAAAAATCTGAGCTGCAGTTACAGGTTAATGAGAATCATCCTGTCCAGAATCAACAGCTTGTGCACAGCGCCAGACTCCACCACTGTCAGTGACTGACAAGGTCCTGACACACAGCCAGAGTTAGTTCCCTTATATGTATACAGGCCAGGTGACTTTGGACAGAATCTAGTCAGTGTTTTACATTTGGCTCATTTACCATTGTAATGCAATACAGAATACATGACAGATTACTTAATTCTTCTAGACAAAGTGGTCATAAAGAAAGGAAAATACAATGTTGAGATATATAGTTTAATGTGTAGAATACAGTATATGTTAAGAAATGTTCTGGTTACAATTGTAAGGTGGTATGATGGTGCAGTGTTTAGCAAGGCTGCTTTGCAAGTCTGGAGCCTTGGGTTCAATTCATGACCTGGGGTGCTATCTGTGTGGTATTTGTACTATATGTTGACCCCATTTTTGTGTGTGTTTTGTCTTGTTTCTCCCACAGTCAAAAGACTGGTAGATTAATTGGCTTCTGGGAAAATTGGTCCTGGTGTGAGTGTGTGTGTCTGTGTGTGTCCTGCAATGGACTGTTAAAATTCTACAACCCAGTAGTAAAACTTAGTTGTAACAATTTTTTACTTCATGTTACAGAAAAGAAGTTCGACCAGCTAGTGACTGACAGGCTAAAAGAACGTTTTTTAGTCTTGAATGCAGAATTCTGCAAGACAAGTCTAGTCAAGTCTTCAGACTGCTCAACTGCTTTGACAAAGTTGACCCAAACAGTGAAACACAAAGAGAAGACAAAAAGGAAAACTGAGGAAACATATTTAAAACAGAGGACAGGAGATATGTTTTTGCAGAAGGTTATGGCAGATTGTTAAAAGCTACCAAGGCATATAAAAGCGAATATCCTATCTTACTTTAAGAAATGAATGTATGTGATCCTCATTTGAATTAGTTACAGGAACCAAATGAGCTACAAGGCCTCCTCTTATCAATAATCTGTCTTATGTGTTTACAACTTTCCATTCAGTTTAGATAGTTTAGCCTGGTTTTCAATATACCTGTTCTCTGAAGGAGCACCTGCAGAGAACTGGTCAGTAGCCTGTCATTTCAGTTGAGATCTCTCACTGAAACTGTACAGTGATCTCAAGAAGAAATAATTCAGGAGTAGAACAGTCAGCTCAAAGTTTGAAGTAATGTGGTGTTCACTGCACAGAATGCCTAGCTATTTTTAGCGAACCTTTAGTAGAGAATAGCTAACCCATGCCATTTAGGAGATGCAGACCTCAGCTTACGAAGGTGACTGGCATTACTCACCGAATAAAAAAAGACATCCGTAACAAATTAAAAAGAAAGATTTGCTTGTCTGCCAAAAACAAGAGAAAGACTAAGTCCTCAGAAACTTGCAATTAATCATTGAAAGCATTCCATCTTTTCTCTTATTCTGTAGTGTTTCATCTTGGTGGAATGCCTATATCTGGCATCAGTGGCCAAATTAGGGCATTTTCCCATGAAACTCGTTTGGCATACAGTGCCAAGGAGGCTGGGGAAAGCCATTAAAGATTCATGTTGATTGGAAGAGTTTTAAGTTAACTTGTTATGCTCCATTCCTGTGTTTACTTAACATTAAACTGTCTGGGTGGCGACTGCTTTTTTTCTCCTTTTCTGGTTGTGTGGAAAGAGAAAGCAGATACAGTCATCGCAGTCTGATCACAGTTATCAAAACAAATTAATTTCACTTTTCTCTGTTAGAAAGGAGGCAGGGAGGTTTTCCTCCTTCAAGGCAGTTTCTTGCTGCTCTTACTGTGAGGTCCTAAGCTGTATTCGGCCTGAAGCTGGGTGAATCAGCTCTCCATGTCCAGAAAGCCAGTGTTCACTAATGCTGCGTAGCTCTGCGATTGGTGGTTTAAGTCTCGAGGACACAAAATGTTTTCTCAGCACAATCCTTTAGTAATGTGTAGCTGAAACCAACTGGATATCTCCTGTTCTTCTACAGTTTTGACAGTAACAGCACAGATAATTAAGAGTAACTATGGATTCTAAAAAGAAAGATCTTTACAATGTTTTACTATGATATAGTGAATAAAAAATGCTGATGAAGCAAATTAAAAAGTGCTTACAAATGAATCTCTGGAAACAAAATGTTTTTTATAGTCTTCAAAATATGTCTGTAATGTGACCTATGTTCCTCATTTATGTCTCTTAATTCAGATTAGTTTTCAATAACACAGATATACCTGACTACAATGCAAACAAAATGAATTTGCTTTACATGCTATATATTGAACTAATTGTCTTCAACATTACAGATAAAACACAGACTTAATCTTTTAACTGAGACCATTACTGCCTGAAAAGTCACAAGATATGAGCATTTGTGATCTCATTGCCTATCCACAATCTGCCATACACTTCCAGGACCAGTAAAAGCACTTCTTAGTGACCCACTCATAAACATGATGAACCAAGAAAAGACTGTAATTTCATGCATATGATTGTTGATCTTCTCCACACAGATTGGAACTGTTTTTGGTTCAGAAAACAAATATGTGATTACAAAACTGGGATTCTAAATACCTATGTCTCATGTCTGTATATATACATACCTGTAGCACTTGAAAATAATGTGAAAAAGTATTTTCTACATTGCATGGAAATAACAAAAAACATACGTTGTTTAATATGAAGTGGGCTTTCAAAACATGGTTGTAATCATCTTTGAGCAATTGTCTACGCTTTCATTTCCAGCTCTGTGTGCATTTCTCATTTTATTGAGCCATTCTGAAAAGGCAGCTTTGGATTTAGGCTACATTAGAAATTTACTGGGAGGGTTTCAGCTAATTGGATAAAGCTTTTAAGACCCATCCAAATTAGAAATACAATGAAGACTGTCAGCACACTGAAGTGTGCCTCATTCAGTTAAGCTACACTATGGCATTGTGCTAAGTATGTACATCTCAGCTCAGTACAGTAGGTCCCAAAGCCTTCAAACACTGAATAAAGAATTAAGGATAACTGTGAAATTACGATGTTTTTATTTTCAAAGAATCATGCTAGTTTGTATGATACATATTTGGAAAAAAATGAACAGTTTAAATAAGGTAGATGATGATTGGCATTGATTAATGAAAGTGTAGGCCTACCAGCAGCAGCTGGTTAGATAAAACATTTTAGACACAATCAGGAGTTACAGTATGTGTATAATTGAATAATTCCACAAATTACTCAGAGCTTCCACTGGCTTTTTCTGTTGCTATATAATAACACTGAATGATGCTGTCAAGATACTAAGTATTACTTTGTTTGAGTAAAATAAAGCCATGATTGTCATTTAGTAATTTTTAATTCACATTGATCAGAATAATTAAAAACTCATTTATAGCATCTCAGGGCAAACTATGCAAGAGCAACCAATATGAAGTGCTGCAGCAGCTCATCCATCACATTTACAGGTATTCCTCTTTATTATCACAATCCATGAAGCTGAAAGTCTCATTTTTGTTTTACAAAATATGCATCTACTTTG